TTGTCCAAAAAAAACGTATGTCAAGTGTTAAATATTTGAATGAAAAAATATCTTTTTTATACAATTTCGATATTGAATATTTTATATCGATATAAAGATATATCAGATCAAAATGTATCGGCGAAAATGTCTATATATTTAATCAAAAATATCGATATATCGATATTTTTTCGAAATCCCTACATCGAGTATGCTTACGAGGTTGCGGATGCGGTGGCAATTTTTAATATAGTAGTCACCGACTAAGGACCAGGAATAAAATAGTTAAACAATATGCGGAGAGCAGTGAATATTAATAACGGTATACAGAAAAATCTAACGATACTCAACAGCAGTTAAAGACATTGCTCTTATTGTTTTAAAATATGAGCTGTCTTAATGTCATGCGTAATCCTGTCCGTAGGGCCGTAGCAAATTCGTAGGTCCTGTAGACTTTCTATATGCGTTGTGTCTACGAAGCTCTACGTTGTCCTTAATACTGGAAAACACGGAAACAAAGGCAAGACCGTAGCGTTGGAAGCTTGCGTCATACGTGCTTACGCCTGACTAGTTTCGACATAATATTAAAATTTATGAAGCTGCCAGTCACTTATATCGCCCTTTTAGTTTGAAACATATAACTTTACATAACATGTTGTTTAATGCTTTTATATATAAATTACATAAAATAATGATTTTGTTTTAAAATGTTTGTTTGCATAATATTTGGTACATATCAGCACTATAGACTTAGTGGGTGGGTCGAGTCGTGAGGTCAAGGATTCAGTTCCCGATGAACTGGACGTATCACGGTCTTATCAGTCGTCAAAATAAAAAGGAAATTAGGCTCGACGAATGTTTACCTACAAATATCTTGGTCGATTTAGCATTAACTGACCATCATGTAAAGCGCCTCAGTATGCCCCGTGATTTAGGGAATTAGAAATAATTAAAAAAGTTATATAGAAGCGAATGCGACAGATGATATAGAATTAGGCTATAGAGTTGTATGTGACATACGCTAGCCATAGATAGAATCGGACCGAACAGAAGAGAAATTAGTTCAACTGTCGTATTGAATACCTCAGTTATCTCAACAGTGTCATATCGATCTCGTATTTGTACATTGTATCTATTCGTATGAACACCAGAAAACATGTAGCTCGTTAGAATCTAATGACGTATTTTGTTTTGGTAACATGAGTATATCAAGTTGTATAATTATTCAATATTCCTCAATATTGCATCAGAGTAACGTGATATTTACAATGTATACATTATTTATAGTAGGTAATTATAATGATACTTGTATTTTAATATACTCGAGCACCCCGAGTTCTAACTCCTAATTCCGGTGCCAGTTACGAATGAAAATGTCAATTTAAAGTGTTGAATTATCACGCGCTCAGCGGCGAAGGAAATCTTCGTGAGGAAACCTGCATATTTTTAAAATAATAACAAAACAAAAATATTTTGCAGATCTCTGATGATTTTCGTCTATCTCTTATCGTCAAGTCTGCCAATCCGCAGTGTGGTCGCATGGTGCCCTAATTACTTTATTCTATTTTGTTTTTATTGTATTTTTAGCGATGCTTGGCCCCATTTAATGCGCTTCCTGTACCGAAACCACTTTCACGAATGACCATTTACATCTACAAATTGTAAGCTTCCACCTTGAGTACAGAGACGAGCACTAAAATTGAAAATTAAATTGTCAACACCGATTCAGTGACGATCAGGTTTTGAGATTGAGAAAGATTTTTTTTATCTATGGCCATAAGCGATAAGCGATCATATATATGATAGTGACTCTTGAGGTAACCGGAAAAGTGGTTTACTTCATTGGGAACTTAACCGTTGACCATAGAACTCGACCCATCCACTGTACCATGGTGACGTAGTAGACAAAAATATACGACGATATTAAAACCGGCCAAGTGCGAGTCGGACTCGCGCACGAAGGGTTCCGTACCATTATCTATAAAAACGGCAAAAACTTCACTTAAATATTTATTTATTCTGTTTTTTAGTTTGTTGTTATAGCGGCAACAGAAATACATCATCAGTGAAAATTTCAACTGTATAACTATCGCGGTTCATGAGATGTGGCTGTATCTGCTGTATGGTAACAGACGGACGGACAAACAAACAAACAAACAGGCAGGCGGAGTCATAGTAATAGGGTCCTGTTTTACCCTTTGGATACGGAATCCTTAAAACCAAATCCGAAGACAAATAACGCGCTACGTAAATATATGTTTCAAACTACCAGGGCGTCATAACAAGTGGCTGGCAGCTTCATAAATTTTAGCCTTGCGCCGAAATCAATGTCTATCGTGCCGAAATCCGCGCGTACCAGTAAAGATGCGTTAGTGATGTATATGCCAGGCATCTTTTATTTTCCGTAGACAGTCCGGGCTTTGTGTTTCGACTTTCGACTTGCTTTGTTGTTTTTTCGTCTCTCCAATTCGGAAGCGGCTGGTGACAGTGGGCAGCCCTTTTGCTTTCATATCGGACTAAGCTCGACACAATTGTTTAATTTTAGAAGCGGTCGCGAATGCGAGTAGCAGTTGCTTTATTCAGGGCTTTGGTATTGTGTGCTTATGGATATATCCGATTGTAGCGCGAATTTTTGTGTTATTTTATATACGAGAGCGTTGATTTGTTGAGCGTTTGACGACCCGAATGGCGTAGTGGGTAGTGTAGCCTCCTGCGCCAGAGGGTGCGGGTTCGATCCCCACTAATGGAAAAATATTGTGTGATGAACATAATGTTTTTCTAGTGTCTGGGTGTTTATAAATATCTGGGTATTTATAAATACATATTATACATATATGTATTTATTTACAAAAGAAAAGTATGTTTAAGTATGTTTATCAGTTTTCTAGTACCCATAGTACCTACAAGCGTTGATTAGTTCGGGACTAGAAAATGTTGTGTAAAAATGTGTCCAAAAAAAAATCAAGCTGGCCTGCTTTCAAGTCGTTGCCGCCGCCTGGAGATTTCTTCAATACATGTGGGTTTTAGAGATGCGGTTCTCGGTAACTTTTAAGAGTCGAGTCATTGGTTATATACTTTCAGTTCATCCGGAATATCATGTCCATCCTTGCCACAGCAGAAACTGCTGTGTAGCCATATCACAGGAAAGAGTTTAGAGAAATTAATACCTTCGCTTTTCTTCTTTGAATATTAAGTTTTTATCAAAAAAATGCTCCCAATCAGGGTTTGGTTCAGGGCGGATTAGGAAATCGAAATAAAAAATGTATAAATATGTTCGAAATTTATATATTATTTAAGTATTTAGAATATAACATGAATAAAATTCTCAATTATAGAAGAGTTTTATTTTCTTTATTTATACATCTAATAAGATATTTTATCGTGATAGTGCGGATGGCTCCATCTATCCTGCGTCTTATGCACAATTTTAATTTTAGAAAAAAACTTTTTGATAAATAATGATAGATTTAAATTGAGTATATAAATTTAAACCTTTTTGTTGCATGTACGAAATAAAACAACATGAATATGTTTATATTATGAAATGCTGTTAATATAAAGATATAATAATTGAATTGGTTCGGGCTATATGTACCTAACCTATATGTTTATTGACATACGCGACGGATTTAATGAGGTTTAATTTTGATTTTTAATGACAACGTTTCATTCGCCACAGAACATACTCGCTCGAACAGACCATGAACACTGGAAAGAAAGGTTACGAAACCTAAACGTCGGGATTTAAATTCAAAATTAAATCCGTAAAATACTTTCATTTAATATGAATAATATTCCGGTAAAAACAAGGAACCTATATGGATAAACCATTTTACCTTGAATTCGGAATTAATATTTAGAATCAGTTATAATAGACAGCTTCCAAATACACCACGAATATTCAGTTAGTACTTGGTATTCGGAAAGTTATTTCACAAATATCAAATCGTAAAAAAGATGCTCTCAAGAGTGAATCAATTATAATGACACGTTATCGCCTCTATCCATAAAACTAATATCAATGGTGCGTTGTGATGTAAGTTGACAGTTTTTTCTACATTCTATAGTAGCAAACGATTCTTTTATGATACAACAAATATAACTAAGTTAGTATTCGATCTAGAACCTGTCCAAATTTCATCGTTTAGCGTCTTAAAAGTTTACGACTCGTATAAATTATACCGTGGATGATTTGCATTGTGGCAAGGTGTTAACTGCAACTTATTCCGCAGAACCATCCGCAAGTATGCAATTAAGCTTAGTAATAGTAGTAAGTAGGCCAGGGTTCCTCACGATCTAAAACCTATGTGCTATTATAACTCTTATAGCTGGGAGGGTGCTCAAAATTTTATTCAATCTATATAGGCGTTATAGGTAAAACGCCTAGGTACCTCACTGCCCGGGCTAAATCGGATGCTATATAAACGCGTCATCGACGTAAAGCGTTTCCGTTGCGTTGTCGTCGTCCAAACCTTCCGGTTAACTTAGCGCCGTTAATTATTATTATTATTCTTATTTCCGTTAATTATTGCATTGGTTTCGTCTTAGCTCTCACGTAGTCTTGCAGTAAATTCAGTCTATATATATATTCTCTGTGTATTTACTTTTCTTATTATCCTCTTAGAATCCTCTGCCCTAAGGTTGCCTGGAAGAGATCGCTGTTTTAGCGATAAGGCCGCCTGTTGTACCCATGTGTCTTTAGTTATAAATCCTGTATTCTATTGGTGTACAATAAAGTGTATTTAACTTTTTACTTTACTTTAATTGCATTCGTATTGGATCATTTCATTGATTTGTACAGTTGGAAAACATTTATCAAATCAACAGCTGTCTAAGTACGCGTGTGTATCTTAAGCGAAATCCATCTTAATTACAACACAATCATCGTTATTAACTCGCTCAAACCGACGCGACGCACGCACCTCGATGGATCAACGGAGTAAATAATCGACGGGCGATAACGCGCGACAATTCATTATGCGTTATGCTCTCTGTACATTGGCGCGGCGGTATATTTCCTACCTTCGGGGGGCGCGCGATTCGCCGCACGAGCTCGTGCACTTCTCGGCCATTGGGCCGCGCAGCATCCCGATGGGTGTGACACGGCCCTTGGGTGTTGCCGGACCGTGCTGGGCACGTGGCCGCCGGGGCGGTGCCGTGGGGGGGGGGGGGGGGGGAAAGGGCGGGTGGGGGCGATGCGCGCACGCATTGCGTGCTCGGTGCGTGACGCGAACGCAATGCCGGTGCGGTCGTCCGCCACTCCCCGCGTGTTCGACACGTCGGCGATACTCGCGCGTCGTGTGTTTTACGGAGGGAGTTGGAGATACCACGTCGGGAAGGGATGACGTAAGTATTGTCTTCGTAGCGTCTTTACATTGGAAGTCGTAAGCCGTGTCATCGGTTCGGGAAGACGGGGTACGCGACTGTCTTGGACCACGGAACAGCTGTGACGTGAACGTTGATGGCACATTCAATGTATCATCCTATTGGAATGTAGCCGTATTTGTATCGCCGCGTTTGTGGATGTATTTACTTGTCGTTTGTATATTTACTGTTATTTCTAGCGTTCTCTTCCCATCGATTCGAGGTGATATACGTTGTTTGTTTTTTGTACGGGGAGGCTTATTTCAAACGAACCGTGCTTGGGCGTTTCGGCGTTTCATCTTTACTGTATTTTGTAAAAAATTTGAGAATATCTGTATACTGACACTAGTTCGACTGGAAACAGTACTGCATTATAACGTTCGTACGACACGCATACATGTAATAGATCAATTTTGACTTAAAACTGTAGTTCATTACTATCCATATGATTAATACTATTGATTTTAATACTTTCATCATCCGTTTTTGCAAAGATTAAGCAATGTTAAAGCAGCGATGTAAGTGCTTCTACATTGTTTTCATTGTCCAACGATTACCTACTATATTTATCGTTTATTTTAACATGTCCATTTTCTAATGGGCCATCGTGGGCCAACCTATAAAATAAAGATACGCCGTAAGGTAAGGTACGGCCATCTCCCAGAAAAAATACTTATTATGATTTAATTGCATTAGGCAAATCTTAAATTACGTTGATTAAATTCTCCGATCACATGAATAACTCACGTTTAGCATTAGAATAATTTATATTATTACATTTATATTATTATTATATATTTATATAATATTTTATATCGAACATGACATTTCTTACTATAAACATGCTTCTTGTTTAATAAAACATGAACGGGATGACCTTGTTTTTTGTTAGTTACAACAATTTCGGAAGATTCCCTACAACACGACAAGGCATAAAAATTTTAGTTCCTCAAGAAGCAAAGCATTGTGATTTTGTATTGATTTACTCTGTGATTTCAATACACTTAAAGGCCGTGACACTTTTGATTCGCAAATAGTATGAGAGCTCCATCGTCGAGAGGTCATCGACCCGAAGTTATATGTGACAGCATCATCAAAATTACTCGGTGGCGCATTTTCCGAGCGTATGGCTTCGACGGTTGGGTTCGATTCCCACTTGGGACAAGTATTTGTGTGACCCACAGATGTTTGTTCCGTATCTGGGTTGCTTTTCCCAGGTGGGCAAAAACATAGGCAAAGCCATTAAAAACATGGTTCGCATGCTGCGCCGACACTACTGAGGTGGAAAAAAGGGCAGAAGAAAGGAGAAGATCAGGTGTCCTTCCTGATCTTCTTTCCTCTTCTACCCTTATAACTTTCTTCTACACTTAACTAAGATCTGAGTCCGTGGCGTGACCGTGAATGCTGTTAAGTATTTATTGACGAGCATTCATAGTAAGAAAGATTCGCGATGAAATCCGTAAAGTGTTTTTATTAAAATTAGAAATAGATTACGAATCGACCGGCAAATATATCGAATACAAAAACGCCTAATCAATTTTCTCCTTTCCTCTAGTCGTGTATATATCTCATATTACAAATAATATCTCAAAAAAAGGATTTCAAGATTTCTTCACCAAATCAAAATTCGAATGAATTATATTTGATTCCAGAAATAGAACTGATTGCACACACACATTGACACTGTAAATAATGCAATTGTTCGATTGACACTTGTGCTTTAAATTACGACCTTTGCTAAATCTCTCTCTTTAAAAAAAAAAATCTATCGAAAGCTAAATTTCCTTTTGATGTCATCGTCTGCCTTGTGGAAAATTCGGACTCTCTCAAAACGCTGAGAGAGTGTTTTAGAAACTTAATTGTCCTTAAAAATCTTATTTAAAACTTTTCAATCCCCACGAACTTAATAATGTTTATTTACACCACGCATATCGATTGGTGACGAAAAAAACCTATCCGTTATTACATGAAACATGAAATGTATTTTTCTATTTATTAAAGGTCTAACGATGCAGGTTTTAATGCGATGAGTTCGTCATGTCAGTTTCGCGTTGGTGTCGTGTGCAATACGATATATTCACTGCCTGTCAGCTGTTTAGTGCTAATAAACTTGATGAAAAGTAAAGCAGTGCTCGTCCATCTTTATCTGGGACTGACTAAAATATCTGACTGTCGAGTTTACCCTTTAAAAGTCTCATGTTGAATCTTATACTAGTAATTACGTGTACCTCGATACAACATATTGATGGGAGACTGTCGCATCGCCGCCATGGCCTTGTATGCACTCATTAGCACCCATTTCGGAATCCGCCGACGTATTTGCCTTTTCAATTCTAGCGTGCCTGGATCGACTCATCATTGACCTATGTGAGTTCTTAGACACTGCGGCGTCGAGTACACGTGGGGAAATGAAAATCCGCCGGTGCATAACGTTGATTTGAACTAATTACGGCTCGTTATTTGATTGTAAATAAAAATTTTAAGCACCCCTAATTGAATGACCATATTGTAGCGTGAACTGTAGTACATCGATGGACAAGATGTATGGTGAGGAAGAGCCCTTAGAGTTTAACAGTAGTTCTATAGCTTTGCACATGCACTGTTGAATTTATTACGATGCTCTTTACGCTCTACACGAGCGATATACCTAAAGACCCCCACGTCAATCTCGTTTTCTAATTCTCTTTTCGCGGATGACACGGCGCTCTTTTATTCAGACCGCAACCTTAGACAACTAACCACTCGACTCCAAAGCGCTGCCGACCACCTCGGCGATTGGTTCCGCAAATGGGGAATAGAAATAAATCCCGAAAATAGTGTGGCGATTCACTTCACACGAAGTACTTACCCGTCACATCTTTACAATGGCCCTCGTCAATGCAGAAAGTTGGGGCAAATATCCCTTTATGGCCAACCGCTCCCCTGGGAGAAAAAGGTCAAATACTTAGGAGTCACTTTCGACTCGCGTATGTCATTTACTACGCACATTAATAACGTTCGCAATAGAGCCGCATTCGTCTCCGGCCGGCTACACAATTTAACTAACGCTAAAAGTAAAATGCCCTTAAGGCACAAATTATTATTATATAAGACCTGCGTACGACATATTATGTCTTACGCATGCATGTCCTTCGCCCACACGCACCCTACTCGCTTGTACAAGTTGCAAATGGTACAAAATAAGTTCATCCGCGCGCAACCGGTGCGCAGTGGTATCAACGCAACGTCGACCTGCACAGCGATTGCAGACTCCCGACGATTCGCGAATATTTTAAAGACCTGACCAAACGGTTCTTCGATAGAGCCGAACATCATCCCAACCCTCTGGTGGTAAGCGCAGCAAATTACCAACCCGACACAAACGCGAACGTCAACAAGCGTCGCCCGAGAAACGTCCTAATCGACCCGGTCGAGGAAGGGGACTTAGATACGCCGGACCCACCGCCGGGTGTTCCGCCGGATAACACTACACCCATAGTTAGTGCAACAACAAACACACTAGTTCGCCCTCGCCTCCGAGCACGGCGAGACCAACACAACGCGTACACAAGGTACACCCGCGTTCCAGGGCGGTTCTCACCGCCCCCAGCCACCGATTAGCTAATTGCACAGTCGACGGCCATCGGGGTTTCGGTCCGAACCGCGACCTCGGTGGCCCTTAGATGACACACCATAGTTTAACGCACGCATGAGCACATGCGTGGCCCTACCCACAGCGGAGGGCCCAAACCCGTGGGTTCGGGCTAGCCCACCGGTTCTGCGTCAGATGAAGCTTTAATAGTCTCGGGACTGAAAGCAAAAACATCAATTAATACAAGATACAAGATTTATTACGATATTCTTGACCCCTGACGGAGCCCTAAAAACTATCGAATTATATAGAAACAAGACCGCAGAGTTGGTCCATTCGTCAATGGACTGGATTAATTTTCGCTATTAAATATACATAATATAGTTTTGTTGAATGGTGGATTTGAGGTTAATAAGAGATCGGAACCAACGGAAATTTTGATTTTGACTTCAATTTCTGGCCGTGTACTTGTTCCGAAGAACTTTAGGCACGTGTGTAACCGTACAATGATTTTTTTTTCTCCAAAATCCTTGTCTTATTGTTCTTTTCACTTCTAGAGAGCCACTTCATATTCATACTATGTAAATTTTGTTCCCAAGTCTTTCGGTTTTTTCCTCTTCTCCTAGAGAGACCGTTCATAGGTTAAGTATAACCATTCAATGGAGATATGCAATTAGTTTACTTGATACCGCGCCGCGATGCGTAGGTCAAATCGGAAAATTATTACGTTGCATTGATTTACAGAGATTGCATTGCTCACATTATATCTATGTTACGTTCTTTAGTATATCACTGTGGGTCGTTTTTCGTTTAATAAAGTATCCCAACATTGAAATCGTAACTCCTTAACACTCAATAGTTGCGTACTTATATAGTAATCAAAGCGAGTGATGACAAAATGCATCTGTTTAGGCTCCCAGGTGTCTGTATTTAAATTCAAGCGTGGCAGAAACAACAATCAAAATTTTGGGCGCATCGCTTTAAATAACATTGTCCACATTAACATTAAATAACAATATTTCAATCAGTCAGACTTAGAAACAGGTTGGGTGTAATTTTTAAAATTGTCGATTTCTGTTTTCTTTGTAAACAGTTTACATGCATAGTTTTATGCTTATATACTCTGTCGGCCTCTAGAGGTCGCTGTTACTTTTAAACCAGGGATGGTCAACTTTTGGGTACATAGTGGTTTGTTTTGATATTTAATCACGATGCACCTGTTACCATATATGCAGACTAATTTGTTAGTGAGAGTAGTAGAATATATCCTAATGTACTACACTGTGTTCAGTAGTGCACTATCAAGAAGTATGTATATATAAGCATATCATGTAAATATTCATAGAAATGTTTTGCATAAAATAAATTAAATTAGTTTATCTAATAATTTAAAAATGAATATTATAAACTACTGCTGTATTCATCTCGTACTTGTTGGCTTAAAAGTGGACAACTGGCGAGTGAACGACTCATTGAAGTGTTTGTCACCTCTGACCCACAACATTATGTAACGATTACGTGTCTTTATCACGCCACGCGTTTCATTGCCCTTTAAGTACACGCGGCATTCCACTTTAAACTTAGTGTGTGCGCAATCATTATATTGCGAGCGTGTCGCGACGATTGTTTCATTTAAACGTGCAGATGTTACGTCGCGCATTACATTAAGTACCGATCTTTATTGGGATTGCAGCGAAGCTACATTGTTTTAATTGACAATAAACGATAACTGTTTGAACCTTAAACTCACCACTGATAAGTTTTAACTTGTTTTTTTTTTAATTTATAATTATGTGTACAAGCGTGTCGCCTTATTTATTTCTTGATATTTGAGTCGTAGATTCGTGATAGCTGATTGTCTGAGCACTAATCTTAACTTCACTTTATTCTACCAGTAGGACATTTGACTTGCACACCCAGAAAACCAAGCGGTAGTATCATACTTTTGCGTTTCTTCTTGTAAGTGGGGTAACCGGGGCGGATACTTTTAAAGGTTGGCAACGCATCCGCAACTCCCGCATGTTGTAGATATAGATAACCGTGGAAGAAAAACGATATTCTCACAACATCAGGTAAAGCGTCATAGGTAGATCAGCGCCACTCTGGCGAGCCAACTATTCTCACTTAACACGAACATAAAACTTTGCTTATTGCTTTTTTTACGCGAGTATTACACATCGCTGAATGTATGATATGATTTTATCGCGTTTTGTTTACATTTCAAATTCCCCACGTTTCGAACCCTTTCCAGCGTAGGTACATGGTCCCGTGACAGACGTGCAGCAGTCTTCAGTTAGGAGATTTTGCTGTGAGGAGACTTTGGTCCACGCAACAGTATACACTGTTGCACGAACGGGCAAGTTCGTCCGGTTTAGTACCTTGGCGTAAAGTAGAAGTGTTTCGTCTGTCTGTGAAGTGTGTGATTGAGGTAGCCGGGGCCCACTTTATAGAAAGGCCGGGACGCATTTGCAACTCTACGGGTGTTGCAAATGTCTGCGGGCGGCGGTTATCGCTCAACATCAGGTGGACCGCTAGCTGGTTTGGCACTTTTGCACATAACAAAAAGCTATTTTCTCCTTCTTCTTTAGCTTCGTGCTATCTCAATCGAACGCCGGATCCGTGTCTTGTGTTACGCCAATCCCGTTTACCTCCGGCGCCCCGCTGCCCCAAATTGAGGCACCGCCGCCGCTAGGTGCCTAGTTTTCCGGCGGTCGCGTGGCGTAGGTCGGCGCGGTGTCGTTGCCCGCGCAATGTCACCCGGCGCGCTCGGTTTCGTAGCATCCCCCCCCCCCCCCCGCCACCGCTGCCTCCCCCCGCAACGTCCCACGGCAGTTGCGTGAATCAACGCTCGGCCCGCGGCTTTTCCGAACGCCGTCGGCGGCTTCTTTGATTTTTGTGTCTCATTGATCCCCATACCCCCATCCCCCCTCCCCACACCCCACTGCGTGGGGAGCTGCGTGAACCCACGCACGGATGGAGCTTTTCCGAACGCCATCGGCGGCGCCTTCGACTTTTCGAATGTCTCACTCGTGCGTTCATGGCGTTCCAATTTCAAAAATGGCCATACCGACAGTTCCACGGAGCAATGTTGATGCAAATTAAAAAAAAATGGAATATTAATAAAAACCATAGGCAGTCGTTTTGTTGTTTTAAAAAAAGTTTTTTTTTATCAAGCGCCCGTCGGTTAGTAGGTATATACGGCTCGCAACACCTGCTGCCATTATTGGTGTTGGGGCAAACAAATCGATCGCTTCGAATAGGTTTTGCGGCAATTACTTTCGACCTCTGTGGCACGCAAAAAATATTATTCGAAACGGCCACACCGCGTCGCGTGATATTTTCATAACCTTGGCGGAAACGGATTACTCGAGAGTGATGAACTTCAGACGTTTACAGAAAGACTGTACTTTAATTATGATTATGAAAATATGAAGACTGTTCAAATCAAAGCGAAAATTATTGCTAGACTTGCGTCACTGCACTACTTTTGGTGCCGGTGTGAGGGAATTAATATTTTAGATGACCTTAATCACATAATTGGATTAAATAAGAAGTCGTTTTTACTTAAAAAAAACTAGGGTTATTTAATTTCTCGAGTGGTTTATAGCTCTGTGGCTCATTTGCCAAGGTGTTGTTTACGACGTTGGAGGCTGTGGGTTCGATTCTCACGTGATACAATAATTTTGTGTGACCCACACGTTGGAGGCTGTGGGTTCGATTCTCACGCGATACAATCATTTTGTGTGATCCACATTCATAATTGTTTCGGATCTGGGTGTTTGTCTACGTGTATATGCATAAAACTTCCTTACAACACGGGTTAATGTTATCATTACAGTAAGCGCAATGTAAAAAAATCATAATATTTACTCTAGGATCTTTTTTTTAAAATCGTAACAGGGTATAGGTGTAAGCCTCCCATATCCTCGAAATAAGTTTCTTTGTTATTATTTCAAAAATATAGGTCACGAATTCCCTTCCTTCACCGCTGAGCACGTGATAATGCAGCACTTAAAATTAACAGTTTAATAGGCGCCGGCACCGGGGATCGAACTCGGGTTGCTATAGTGAAATATATTGAATTTGAAAGCTAGCGCCCGGATAATGAGCTATCACGGCTTATTAAAATTTGTATTTACCTATGAAAAAGCCCAGAATGAAAAGCTAATTATTTGTAAAAGTATTTATGTTTAATGATTGATTAAACAATGTTTAATGAATGATTATACATTGTTTTTTTTTTTTTTTTTTTTTTCAATATGTTTGTGCACCTACCTAAACTTCTGGGTACCACCCTAAGGTAGAAAATGCTGTCAGCATTAAGTCCGCCTATGTTTTGTGTATGAAGTTTATAATAAATCACTACATAGTATAAGACAAAGTCGTCCCGCTGTCTGTCTGTCCCTATGTATGCTTAGATCTTTAAAACTATGCAACGGATCTTGATGCGGTTTTTTTACTACATAGAATGATTCAAGAGGAAGGTTACCTCGGCTTCGCACAGGTACAATGTACAATGTACAGGTACAATGTACCTGTGCGAAGCCGAGGTGGGTCGATAGTAAATAAATAAATTGAGGTGTTTGCGTTCCTTAAGAACTATTCGGTGGTCACTGACCGCTCACCACTGTTGACCTACCGCCGTTGACGGATCTCGGGCAGCTTTTTGCTCGTTTTGCTTTTTGTCTGTCTGTCCGTCGCAGACGTTGTTTGGTGATGACTCCTAAATCGTGTTTAACGATTGGCCAAAATTTATAATTCCGTTGTATTCGCGATTTTCAAATGCGCTATGTATGTTCCTACGTCAAGGATCTCTTGTAGGGCAAGTAGAACAGAGAACTAGTTATATAGTTTTTTTTTAATTCAAAAACTGGCTTGCACTTGACTGCCATCCCACCTGATGGTAAGTGTGATGCAGCCGTTGATGGTAAGCGCGCTAGCTCAGTAGAAACCTATTCACTCTTGCCTTGCGCCAACGTTGTATAATATTCTAAACGTTTTAATTCACAATGACAATAATGACAAGTGTTGACGTGAGGAACAGGTGTCGACTTTTGTGTCGACATTTTCGACCTATCTGTGGCTAAGAACGTTGATAATGTGTACGAAATCTGAAAACAAGTTTCCCTATCTTCAGGTAGTCAGAACAACTATAAAAAATGTCTGACGTGACTGCATTTAATATCTTTTTCACAAGCAACGAATACTGGCACAGAAGATAACATTTTTAGTTATTTTTCTTTTGTTGAACTAAAGACGTTTAACTTCTTACTTGTGTACATAAGTACACACATACTTTTTAAAATTATTATTGGGTATTGGCATAGATCTATTTTGAATATAACAAGCGAACGATATTACGTATATCATTTTTAACGCTCTCAGCACCACGCACAACATATTGTAAATTGCGCTTAATGGCGGTGACGCGTGCCGCCCGCTTTATCAATTATACGTGCAACAAAATTGTTATGCATGTTCAGTATGGGGGAGGACTCACTGGTCAGGTAGAAAGTAGTAAGGCCCCCCTGGAGGGGGGGGGTTCAGTTTTTCCACACAGTGTTGCAAAAAACATACACACACACACACACACCGCACACAAACAACGACCGACGCATCTATGACGCCCTCGTCGGAAATTCACCGAAAAAAAAAACAACAGCGCACAGATAAATAGTCCCCCCCCCCCCCGCATCCCGCGAGCGGAAATTCGCCGAAAAAAAAACAGCAGAACGGCGCACAGATAAATAACCCCCCCTCCCCACCCCGAGCGGCGATAAACATTAGCTAGAGAACGGCAGCGGTCGAGCGAGTCGCGGCCCCGGTCCGTGAACCCGCCGCGCTCGGCTCCGACATTGCGCCGACATTGGGCACCGGGCTAAATGATGCAGATAGCGGGCGGGGTGAACGACCCGCGCGCCGCCGCCGCCGAACGCCGAGCGCGGCCGGCGCGGCGACACCTGGCGGCGAGTTGTGCAACCGCCGCGCCGACCTACCCCACGTCGGCCGCCGTGGTCACCGTCGCCGGGGCGGGCGTGGGATACGCGACGATCTTGGACGGCCGACAAGACAGAAGAGCGGGCGTTAAGTGGAAGTGTTAACATTCTCATCTCGACCGATCGGGGAGGGTGCGACTCATCAGCGACCCACCGGGTGTTGTACATGTCCGTGGTTGAACCGGCTGCTCGCTTGACACATTTTCACTTAAAAACAACACGGAATGATATGACTTTCTTTACATTTTTTTTTTGTATACCTGATGTAACGCTTTCAGTCCTTTTACTATTAAAGCTTCATCGAGCGGGCTAGCCGGAACCCACGTTTGAGGCCCTCCTCAGTGGGCAGGGCCGCACTTGTACTCGTGGTACTCATGCAACTTTCTTTACACAACAATGGGATCGCGGTTGCGTTGCTAAACCCAAATCGGGTGCTTCAACAGACAAACGTGGTAGTATGACACTTCCGCTTGGCTGTGTAGTCGTCGTGCAACAGCCTAAGCTGCTGCCCGTTGTACCACAGCTGCTACAAGCTGGTGATATTCTTGAACACAGTATAATTATGGTCGAGAGTAGAATAATTAGGCCGAGCATATTATGATTTACACTGTGGCACATTAGATAAATTATAATTCTCTACTCTGCAGTTTAGCGATTCCAGTTTCTGTACCGGCCTCTTTGTGAAAATTGTTTAAGTAATGTCTCTACAGCCCACGACTATCTTATTTTTTTCAACAAAACGTTATATGCAGTAACGTCCATATTTTATGAAAAAATTATTTTAAGCTATGAATTCATTTAATTGCAAGCAACATCGACGATTGCATCATTATACTTGCAGCAGCATTGCCGTAAACAAACTTAATAAATGGCGACTTGCGCTGTGCTAAGATAAAAACATCTATGATTATAATAGGCAATCGATAAATGTAATGTTTATAATATCGTCTAACTATATACCGATATAGGGAGAATTAATACAACATTGATGACCGCTGACCCCTAACAGATGAGATGCAGAATAAAAGTAACCATCCAATTGAGGTCATATTTAGTGATCACTTCCCGTCAGGTGAGCTAATTGTTCGTCCACCACCTGTTTTAAGCTAAAAATTGTCATATGGTTACGAGTAAAAAGGTTACGAGTCCACGACACACTAGAGACGCTGAGCAAGTTATAAAGTTACACTAGATACGCTTAGCAAGTTTATAAATTACAATTGAAACAATTACGTTAAAGCGTCGCTTTTATTCCGCCCGGTCAAAAACTCTAGGCGCGGCACATAACAGTGTAAGCGGTGCGATAATACACACACAGCGCGGACGCTCGCACGCGGGGCGGTCTCCCAGTGGGTGACTGGTGGGCCCCTGAGCGCCCCTCACTCGGTCTGTGGGCCCCGAAGGTCGGGGCGACCTCGATCGCGCGGAAACCGCGTCGCGGTCAAGGCCGCAGTCTAGACGCGACCCCCTACCCTCTCGCTAACCCCCCCTCCCCCGCCTCCGCTGAACCTTACACTCCCCCCGCCCCCACGGCCCTGTGCGTTCTAAACACCCCCGCGCGTCTCGTTTGCGTCCGCACGAGATATAATGCTCTTAGCTATACTGACCTACGTTTAGCATGACTTACGTGCCTTAGTCGACGAACTTAACGACTAAGTTGTACCTGGATAACATTGACATCAGGAAGTCAAACATCTCAGTCCGTTCCGCAACTATGAATACTCTTAACGAAATGTCGTTTGGTCATAAAAAATAAAAAGAACGAATGATAAATCGAATGAAAACTAGATTAAAAACTAAATAAAAGTAGTACTTATCTTTTTAGAAAGCACAAACAGGCGAGACACGTTTTGAATTATGTACGTACGGATGCACATGCCAATTTGTGTTAGATTATTATCAACATCTATAGACACGTTCGATTTTTAAAAATTATACCAATCACCAATCTGTTACAGACTATAAATCATGCACGGACTAGTTTTGAGCAAGAGGATTTTGGCTTTGAGCTTGTATTGTTTAATTTTTTTTATTTTTTAAACGGAATTGTTATTCAACTTTGTAAGATTAGGTTCGAAGGAATGAAATCAGTTTCTTTTTCGTGGACATAAAGATGATTTTATCCCGCGCTGAGTTTTTTCTTTATTTCCGTTTATGATGTGGTAATGGTTTTGTCGGCAGTGTGTTTTTATGCGAATGACATGAAACCGCGCATGATCCGAACTAATTATTATTCCACGAGTTTGTAATATTTTAGTGCATGCCATTTGTATCGTTCTGTTTGGATTGGAAGCTTTTAATATCCAATTTTAATTGTTGTTGTTTTTCTAAATAATTTATGTGCTTATCGGCTTTTGATTTTGAACATGATTGTGAGGTAATCGATTCTAAACAACGTGTTAGAATAAATTGTTATCAAGTTCGACTATGACACAGCGTTAGATCGACTCAGACGATGTCTTCGCCTTGCTGTGTTTAATGAGATATACGAATGAAGTCACCACCTTGTACCTAACGCGTCGCCGGCCTTGACGGCGGACCACACGTAACAGCAAAACGTTGGACAGTCTAAGTATAATGTGCAACAATCTAATCTCCATGCTGCCAATCAAAGGCGTCGTTCAAGGGAACCCACAGTCTGCACCACGCCTCGATAGACTGCAAGGCTACGTTCTCGAAATCACCTTTGACGTTTCACAGTCCTTTTATCTTTTTTTTTGCCCGTGCACTAATTTTTATTATTAAATCGGATTATGTGCCAGCTCTCGGCTGCGTTTACGCAACGTTCGGAATTTGCAAAAAAAAAAATAATAAAAAGGTATCAGGAGAAAGCGATTGAAGGCGTCGTTGTCGACGCTTACGTCTTTTTTCTTTCTTTTGTTTTTTCGTCGAAAAACAAAGGCATTTTAATATATTCAGCCAGTCAGTCACAGGCGGAAACTGCGTGTATTTCTAATGGCGCGTCGCCGTCTTCGGTTTGTCGGGGCATGGCAAATTGCAAATTGCAACCGATGATCGGTATTGAAACCGGTCCCGGTTGTATGCACCAAACGTTCCAACCAAAATTTTCAATCAAACGCGAAGGGGAGGTGGCTTGTAAGAACCGTCGCACATACGTCTCTTTTGAGTCGAGCCGAAAGTGTTCTTTTTTAAACGGTTTTATTTAGCTCGACCCGTACGGAATTTGTTTGTTTGGGTCAAAATTAGAAATTGAAATTTAAGCACCTTGCCGTTGTCAGATTGAACTGAAATTTGATACACACATTTAATTTAGATGACAATACAATATTAACAAAAAAAAAATTAACAAAAAAAAAACATAAAATAAAACCGTTTAACTTAAAAGTTTTTAAACGGTTTTATTTCATTTCTTTTTCCCTCTGAATACGCGGCCCACGCTAGTTTAATATTGGACTGCGTGGATTTCACTAAGCCGCCTTTTTATTTACGCGCATGGATCCTTACGATTGCACGGTATTATTCGTTTTAAGCGACTTTCTTCCATCGTATACTTGTTAATGAACGTTTCATGTGAATAGATTTTTCGTTTAATTATAAAGTTAAAAATAATGGAGCATTGTGATGTGAAAGCTGTAAACCACCGTTATATTGCATTTATATGATTTAATATTACCATTACATAGCTCTAGTACTAAATGAATTACATTTAATGTTAGATGTGGGTAAAAAATCAAAAGCTTAATTACACATCTTTATTGAATCGCCTGACTAAATAAAAAGAAAACGTTCAATCAAAATGGCAGAGCGGCTGTTCAAATTTCGTTACTGAAGCCGACCACAGACGGCATCGGCCGCACACTAATTGACAAGGACAATAGACAAGCGATTTTTCTTCCATTCCATTTTCAAACGCGACAAACGATAACGCACGAATAGCAACGACGGCCTAATCATAATGTTGAGGTAGGTCCGAGGCGCGCATAAACAAAGATGGCGACAGCGCCGCGGTTAGGGTTATCGTCTAATAAATTATTTATATCGGCGGGGGTGTTTCCGATCTGCCTCCGGAAAATGGAACATATAACTCGGCGCTATAGAAAAACGAAATAAAATGTTTAGTTTATAATCAGCTTTTGATTCTATAATACGAACTGAATTATTCACGAATGCTTTTATGCACAAATCATTTTTAATTAATTTAGATTATAAGTGTAATTTAAATACAATACTAAACCAAATACCCTAACATAGCGTCAACTAACTTGAACTACTGCATTCAATGACGTTAGGTTAAATATTAACGTTGTTATGTTGGTATTGGTATGGTTAGGTTGATATGTTATTTTCTGTGTTCAGAAGGTTAAAAGTTGCAATTGCAACTTTAGTGGAAACCCTAGAGTTTTTTTAGTTTCGTCTATTTCAGATACAAGGTGACGGAAACGTGCGGACCGTGCCGATTAGATACCTATGTACCGAATCGATAAAAGTACCGGAATGATAGGTTATTTTTAATACATATGCAATTAAACGCTGAGATATACTTTATTTGTTTTCTTGACGTTTTGCATTACTCAATCCTCCCGCGATTTTTATACGCACTAAACATTCAAAAAATTATTAATTTTTTGAATGTTTTAGTGTACATTATCATGCATTTTTATGATTTCGCCTTTAATCGAGACCGAGACACTGTGTAGTCCGGGAATCAATTACAATCACGTTTTGTGTGACCAAAGAATCGAATATCATTGTCTATTTTTACATCTGTCACTCTGTCGAATAAACCATCTTCCGATTTGTTTGAACCTGAACAGAGTACCTATATATCGTATGGCAACAGGACATATTTTTTTTTGCATCGTGTGGAAATCTTCGAAAGATATCCTGTCTCCTGGCGTTAATCCAGTCGTCCCTGGACCCAATGTCCTCTTTTAAACCTTTTACGATAGACCCACTTTAAAAAAAGTTGTTAATGCATCTACAACCTTCAAGCGTTGCAGATGTTCATGGGCGGCGGCCATCACTTATCATCACGTGAATCGCTTTCTCGCTTGAAAACTTTTGATATAAAAAAGGGGATACTTTGCTCCCATCATATGAGCCCAATACTACATATTTTACAATTACATTAAGTAGCCCTACTATAGATCTGGAAATTTGGTTCATAATTCGCTTCTACGCCTTGCTTTGTATCGCTTTCTCACTTGAAAACTTTTGATATAAAAAAGGGGATACCTTTGCTCCCATCATATGAGCCCAATACTACATATTTTACTATTACATTATGTAACCCTACTATAGTTCTGGAAATTTGGTTCATAATTGCTTTGTATCGTTAATTGACGGTTTTATTAACCAAATAAGCAAGTCGCCGACGAAGAATAATTTTAATGTACGTCATTAATTATATGTTAAAATTTAAAACTGTAATTAACCCCAGACAACACTCACGCTCCGCGCTTAACTTTGTCTATTTTCATATTTGATATGGTCGCACGGATAAACCGGATGTTTGTCGCCTTAGTGGTCGTTTTGCATAGTTGAAGGTTACGACACCTTAGCATATTATATTGTTAGTTAGATATTCATATAAATTCGTTTTCCAGGAGGCCACGGCGATCGTACCAAATACGTACGAATTGTCGACGGTTCCGGTGGCTGGCAAACGAATTGCAAAATAATAGCTACCTACGTTTAATGTTTCATAACGCAATTGTATTAAATTTTATCACAATTGCGTGAATATTGTTTATTTTTATGCAAACAGAGAGACCACTACTTGTCATAATCACGCGACTTGAAAGAATTGCGAGACATCGTTAATTTGATTATGGTTCATTCGTGCCTCGATGTCGTATTGCTGAGATAAATAAGTTAATTATTTTTTTCATTTCTTACATATCTGCTGAACGATAAGATAATGATTTCATCTATAGGTCATAGGTAATGTAATACTTGTACCGGGTGGAAATTGAACACGCGACCTGAATGCCGAACTCTCTATCTACATCGCTTAGCACCAACCGTGTCGTGGATTAATAAAGTTTAGTTAAGCGCAACAGGTAGATTGTTTAATGACTTCGCGTCAATAAAACCCGTCGAAGTTCGTGCGGACCTCACGCACACACAAAATTTGTGTGTGACACGTATTCCAACAGTCATTGGCGGTGTTCGGCGGCGAATATAAATACTCCCGTTGGTATTAGAACGAGAAGCGCCGTGCACAGAGCGGAGGCCTTGGCGTTTCGGTACGCGGTAAACATAAGCGTTCCGTTTAACACACGGCCGCGGTGTGTTGTGCCGCCGCGCGAAATAGACATTGTGTTGTTTGTGTGCATCGCGTTCGGCATTCGGCGACGACTAGCCGGCCAGTGGGTCGTCGACCGTGCGACCGACGTTTCACCTTCGCCGGCGGATAGACGCCGATGCCAATGATTCGACTAAGCGGGCGCGCAAATGTTTAGGCGTTGGGATAGGCCTCCCCCTCCCCCGCGCCTCCCTCCCTTCCTCGATCACCTCCTCCCCCCCGTGCGGCCCCGTATCCAGCTAGCTTGTATCGCGAGACGCGTTTATTCTTCACCCGGTGTTGTCTAATCCTCAATTTCGTTCGATTCAGGTTTGATACGACCCAGTGGGATATATTTCTACGTGTGTAGTA